ATGCCTTTAAGGAAAACACACACGTTTACTCCAAGGGAACCTACTGTTTGGAACATGCTTTGAGAAAAAGAAAATCAGAGTCCTCGCCGGCTTAAAGTTCTGTTGAGAAGCAGATGCAGGGGGAAGGTGACACAGGAGTCGGCATGCACAGTAAAAGGCGAGCTCCAAGGACAAACGGGGTTTTCTTAGCAAATAATCCACTTGGCAAAGCGCCTCCTTTATGTACGGAAAGGTCTGCTCCTGGCTTCAAGCGACTATCCCGGCTAAACAGGTAATTGTGCACTGCTAATTAGGTTTACAAAAAGATGCGGCTCCAGCCAGGAGAGCCTTTACAGCTTGCTTAATTCAGCACAAGTAGGAAATTCTTGTCAGCAAGGCAGAGTTACAAAAACGCGTTTGCCCGCAATCACTCATCTTTTGCTCTTAGGATTTTGAAGATGCAAATATGTAATACCATTCAAACGTCCGTCCAGTGCTTAAGGGCTATCAGAAAGTAGAGGGAAAAGAGAGGCAAGGAGGAAACCTTTCATCCACAGACATAGTCGAAGTGCTTATTTCGCCCAACTTCATTAAATATTCGCTTATCTTTAGCTATCTTGTTAATCCTGGCTCACAAGAAATCAGAAAGACAAGGAGTCTGCATAGAACAGGAAAATCAGATGCAATCACTTACCTTGAGTCACCTGTTGAACTCCCAACATGATCCCAGACACCGCGTCTGGAAGCAAGTTTTCTTTCAGATTATAATGCGGTGCCCATTCCAGAACAGGCAGCCGCCTTCGACACCACTTTTTAATGTCTTCACAATGGGGGGCATGCATCTTGCTCCAGCGCACACTTTTCTTTTTCCTCTTTGCCCCTGTCATTTTTTTTCTTCAGATTTCCTCTCGTTGAAGTAAAATTTCTTTAAAAATGAAAACTCAAAAGCAAACCCAAAAAAACGGTGCAGAACACCTCCTTTCCAATGCCAGTCTCCAAATCTTCTGTGGTTTACAGTGTCAAAGCTACCCAGAAAAAGAGAAAGAGAGAAAGATTAACAGAAAATGTTACATCTATGCAGCTGGGCTGTATGTCATCATAGTGTAGCTAATTCTAGATTTTAAAAATAAATAGATTAAAACCTTGGACTGTCCTCTGAATGAAATGGATTCCTGGTATCGTAACATTTTCTGATCTTGGGAAAGTAAAGGATTTAGTCTTAAGTTGGTCTAGAGCTCTTTCGCCAGTAATTCTCTTTATATTCACTGTAGTCTTATGTTTTTGGCTCCAATCCCAATGGTTAATGAGATAGTTCTGGGCGTGTGTTGGAAGGGGGCTGGGTTATGCTAATAAAGCAGGAAGTACTCAGCTAGTCCAATTTCTTCCCCACAAGCTCTGCAAAAACATCAAACTGCCCGAGTCGTCTGCCATGCAAAATACAGAGAACTCAGCCTCACGTCTTTGAAAAGTATATATTTTTCAATATACCAGTTAACTCCCAGGTCTCCAAGATTCAGAAAATATGACAGGGCACTGCTAGAAGTTCTTATCATTTTTTTATTTCCTGCTAAATGAGGTTTTCATTCATAGGGAAGCAGTCATTCCCTAGCCAACTGCCCATTCTGGGAAAGGAATAGCCAGTTCTTCTAAATAAACTGAAATTTTATCTCCTAGGCTAAGAAAATAAGCATCACAATAAGCAAATATTTGTAGCAAGGGTTCTTCCTTGTTTCTGAAACCATTCGTTCAATTTTCTGTTTCCCTAAATCAAATAATACACACGCACACACACACATACAATATCGCATATGGCTCAAACTATTGTTTGATGTGCCCTGGAAGATTTTTTGGGTGTTTT